AGACACAGACAGAAAGACTTCACCACTTCTTTGCTCTCCACTTTGTTTCCCTGCAGTTTTTATAATGTAACACAAAAACCTTTTCAATATGCAACTTCCTTGCTGTTATCATTTAGTGTTGATTTTATTGTTTTACTTAATGTGCTGCGTCATATGTTTTTATATTAGATGACCAGTAATTTATTACAAAATTTGTAATTTTTATTTAAAAAAAGATTTATATGTATTTATATATTTAATTATTTATTACACTCTATGTTTGTATTGTATGTTTTTCTATTATACTGTGGTGATGAAATTATTTTTTAAAAATGGTATAAAAACATCTCATTTAGGTTTTTAAGGTGATATAATACAATAAATATAACTTCCAAAAGCTGATAACCGTACCACAGGCCAATTAATGACGAATGGAATATTCACATTGCTGTAAAACTTTTAAAACTTGAGCATAACTTCTTTATTTAGGACCATAACAAGGACTTTAAGCCACTGTAGGAATATTTTATGTGTATGTTAAGGGTTCAAGTGAATTTTGGTCAACATAGAAAATTCTAAAATAATAATGATAATAAAAACAACCACATCACAACTGAAAAGAATATTATAGGAGGCTGAACGTGCAGAAGAGGGCTGTAGATTCAATAAGAAACTAATAATTCTGATATTAATTGAGTGGGGCTGAATTTTTGGCACTATGCTGATAACATAAATAGTCATGCCCTAAAATGATTAATTAAAAGTTAACCACAAGTTGGGAGAAATTACAATTTCATCTAGCCACAACACTGAACACAATAATTATTTTGTTCTTAATTTTCATGAACAAGCGAAAAGTTCAGTGCTGTTGAATAACACTTTTACACTGACACGACAGGCCAGACACTACAAATTATATTAAAAACATAATTATCTGCTTCAATTAAACTTAAATGTTTTAAATTCCTCTACTTTTAGTTTTTATTTTTAGGTAAGTACAACTTGGCTGGATGTTGGTGGTTGAACACACACACGAGCGGATCATGTGACGTTACACACTGATCTCAAACTGTGTTTAAACTCCAGACTCACTGAATTATTTTTAGACTTCACAGCACTGATATCAGACAACAGAGAAACATAACATTCATAAAGCTGCTATAAAACAATATAAAGCAAACTGTGAAGGTACAGAGTCAAACTACTGCTTGATGAGGCCTGTAGGAATTTAAAAAGGACTCTTAATGTGACATTAACACTGTTAAACTGACGCCAAAATATCGACTGACAGAAACATAATAATAGAATAACACAGAATAGTCCAGCTCTTTACACTTCTCCTGTGAATTTAAGATAAATGTCGGCTGTAACCCTCCAAAAACATTGGAGTGTAAAAGCAAACTTGTAAAATCAACCATTAAATAGAAGAAACACACTTGGTCATGTAAAGTGAAAAAACACACCTGTGAAATGAACCTTTTAACAAATAATAATCGTGAAGAATAAAAATCACCCATAATTCTGCAAGTGCACCAATATTCTAAAAAATCTAAATAGATGCATTAAATGCTAAACACTCATGAAGTAATGTGTAAGAAATAATAACTCATAAAACGTAAATCAGGCCAATAAACAGACTCATTGTAAGAGCAGAGTCGCTCAAAGTAGTCGTCAAGAAAAAAAAAAGTCTCACAATAAGTCAATAAATCGAAGTGCAACTAAAATCTCTTCATCTTACTGTTTAACAACTGTGAATGGTTTTGTTTTTAAAAATCACAAGTTTCTCAAATTTGTTTTTGTAGACAATAAATAAATAAATAAATAAATGGATAAAATGACTTTCGAAATTCCCTTTAAAGTCTTGTGTTATAAAACTCACCCACAATAAAGTCACACAGTAATTTAAATAAAGTAAAATAAAATAAACAGCTGATTAATGCAACTAATGAAAAAAAATTCACTTAAAAAATGACAGTGACTAGGGGAAGAAAATTTACTCTTAATACTTCTAAAACAATAAACTTAAATTAGTAACTTTAAAAAATACCAGTTAACAGTCTCTTCTGTAATTCAAAAAATTCATCACTTATTTAATTGAAACTTAATTCAAAAGATTGTTTAAATAACATCCCGGGGTGAAATGTTTCTGCTTCCTCCATCTGTAAATGAGAGGCACACTTATTAAAAAAAATAAATAAAAATAATTCAAATATCCATGATCGGGCCTCTCAACGCATCTTCTGGATTTTTATTAAATCATTTTTCGACAGTGTGATATTTCCCATCTCTCTTCACACATCACCAGGCAGGAACTCTGCTTCAGGTTATTTCATCCTTTTTAATCAAGTTTAGTTTCTCTGAAAAAACAAACAAAGACAGACAGCAACAAAACAGACAGTACAGACTTCATACAAGTGAACGCTAACAACAAAAGTGCCAAAAAAAAAAAACAAAAAACAAAAAAAAACTCCAAAATATTTTTTTTTACAAAACCTAAATTGAAAATAAAAGTGACATGGAGCGAGATTAATGAAACTGAGGCTGGATCAGATCAGTCTGCACCCTGCTGCCAATCAACCCTGTTTCTTCTTCTGCTGTTTGGGAAATTAAACATTTAAATAGTAGAATATTTGAGACCTGTATTCTGTATTTGTGCTTTTATTTTGCTAATAATATCCTCTCTTTTTCTATGTTTGTTTACATGTGTAGTATCTTAATGTGTGTGTGTGTGTGTGTGTGTGTGTGTGTGTGTGTGTGTTGACAAGGTCAGCTTCTGTTTGGGCTTCAGGAGGCTTTTATTTTGGTCAGAGGTTATATAACTTTTTCTGTCTTGCACTGTAAAAAAATAATAGTTAAAAAAGAGGGAGAAAGCAGCTTCTGGTTTGTTGTTTGTGTGCTCAGCTGTTTGCCATATCAACAGGAAAATACAGGAGGAATTAATTTAAAAAAAAAAAAACCTAAAGAGACTCAAATTGAAATCAAGTTGAATTAAATCCAACCGGCAGCACATTTACAGTCAAAAGATTATATGTATTTTTGCAGTTAAAGGCCCAAAAAAGACAATTAAAAAAATGTATTCAACAGTGCAGTTTAATATTAACGCGAGCAGTAAGTGGAGGATTTTAGCCTGACATAAACAGGATTTTATTTCTTTTTAATGTCTTTATTTCTTTGAATTGTAATAAATTTGCATCATAATTCAACATTTTCCTCATTTCCTAAATCTTCTGTTTTTATATTACTGATATTTTGATACCATCACTCTCACACAGGACACGTATCGGCCCTAAATGGCTACTCTGTGAAATATCATCAGCGTTATCTGCTGCCTCGTTTTCTCTCCTGCTACTTTAGTTTTTATTTTTGCAAAGGCAACTTTTATTTGATTCAGATTGTGTTTCAGAGCTCAAACAGCACTGACCTGAGATCTGAGGATAGACCGATCAATACCAGAGCGATCAATACTTTGATAGTCAAATACTGCTCGTTCAGTGTGCTTATAAAAAGAATTTGCATTGACGTGTTTTTAAGTTTTTGTGCACTTTGATTTGACGTTTTCCTTGTAAACAGGAGGAGATCAGTGGATGTAGATTTATAAAAGTATTTCCAATTATCGTTATTTTTTAAATGTATTATACTCATTAAAAAAACTTCATCTAAATGTGAGAGTTTGTATTATTTTTGTTATTATTTTACTGATTTTAAAGTACAGAGGCTAGTTTGTGTCGTCAGTTATGTAATTTAATACTGACTAGCTGCAACCGAATATTTCCAAAGAAATTATTTATTGAGGAATAAAATATATTTTTTTATCTAAATCATTCATACCACCAGTACTTCCAAATAAACATGGCTGCAGTGAAAAGACATCTTTGTGCTTTTTTGTAAATTAAATGTCGGCTAAATAAAATTTAAATAATAATAAAATGAATTTTTGGGGGGCTACAAAAAACAAAAGCAGGGTCTTTGTGAAACCTGCAACAGTTTAAAATAAATCTACATAATTTAAATTTTAATGTGTCAATAAAAAGCAAAAATACAAGAAAACACCTCGATGTCTTTGCACTAAAACCTCGGTATAGGTAATATCGTCACATGAAACACTGATATCGGTGTCAGATTTTTAATGGCGGGCCTTCCTTCCCTGCTGAGGCCAGCTGATGCACCTTTTCAAGATGCCATTGAAGCTCGCTGTGCAGCTTTTACTCCCCAAAAATACAAAATAAGTTGCATATATATCATTGCAGTTGGCTGGAAACCTTGTATCTCCAATTGTGGGGATTTTTGTGCAAGTGACGGACTCGTTTTGAATAAAACCCCTCAAGAGAATTTTTTAAAAAAATTCATCCGGCTAAAATGAAATGTAGCTACACTTGGCTGCATGACCCATCTGTGGAGGAAGGCCATGAGATGTGGTTGAAAGCTCCTGTAAAGTGGAATTAAGATTATATTTGTCAAACTGTTTCCAGAGTTATAAATGAATCACCATGCTCTGTAATTTTTTAAAATTAGTTTCCACCCAAAAAGTTGGTAATCTGGAGATACAAGTTTTCCACCTGACACCAGCCTTATATGTATGTGTGATGCAGAGGCCTGATGCGCGTTTGGAGCCGCTCGGTTTGTTCACTTCCTCCCAAAAAACACTGCAGAAACACCTCCAGCATGCAGAGGCCTCCGTCCATCCTCCGCCGGTCACTATTAAACTTGTACCCGGAAATTAGAGCAGGTCAGCGGGTCTTTAAGAACCGGGTGGAGGCGGAGAGAGTGGTGTTGTATTTTTTTCTTATGAATTTGGAAGTTTGTTGTTTGTACGGTGGCCCTCAGCACACATGCGCAGGAGGTTTTTTACGCTCATAGGCCTGCGCACACACACACACACACACACACACACACACAACTGAAGTGAAGTGGACAATCTGGGCTCTGATGATGAAGAACAGAAAACATACAAAATCTGCGTTACAGCTGCGTTGCTTTGCATAATTTTACACATGAAGAGTTCTATTCCAAAAACATTTATATCCATTTATTTGTTTGTTTATTTGTTTATTTATTTAAAGGGGCAAGTCCAAAACTACATTTATGTCACTCAAAGGCAGCAGTCAGGATATTTTTAGCTTCACTACAGGTCTGCCATGTTGGGAGAAAAGTTTGCTTTATTCCTGGATATCATTATTTTGGAAGGAAACTCTTCACAGGAGAGCAGTTTTATTATTATTATTATTATTATTATTATTATAGGCCTGTCCGGGGTCACACCTGAGTAGAGATATGATTTGTAGGCTTATTTTTCCTCTCAAAACCCCTGATTGTTTCTGCTGATTTTAAGGCGTTATATTCATTATTATTCAAAAGTTTTTCCTCCCAGTAAAAGAGAAAAGAAAAAGTTTTGATTGTCTCATTTTCTCCTTGATTGTCTCAAAATTCATAAATAATTATTAACCCTGTATGTCTTATTTCACCCCCCCCTCCCCTCCCCCTTTTCCTCAATACTGATAAGTATACACTGACAAATAGAATTTAAATACATTGTACAATAAATACAAAACATAAATAAAAGACTCAAAGAAAGTACTGAAAATCTTTGTACAAGATATAAATAGCTTGAAATATACTTAAAGCGTTACCTTTGGCAAGTCTAGTTTACAGTTGTACAACCCGCGGGTAACAAAGGTTTGTCCCTTTTTCAATCAAATGCGACAAAAAAATCACCAAAATAAACCCGTTGCTCTTCGGGGCAGAATATGGCCAAAAAGTGTCACTTCATATATATTTTTTGCGATCAATGTTTGATATTTAACGCTTATTATTTGCCCTTAACATGACGTCTTTTGTGCGTCCTCGTCCCGGTGCCATCCACGGAGAGGTGATGGGGGAGAAGGGTGAGGGTAAGGGGGGAGTTCAGTTTAGGAAGGCGTTTGGGGTCACCCTCTTTTGATGGGACAGCACCCCGGGGAACCCCGCGGACACGCTCGGGGAGAAGGCCGGTAGGGAGCTGTTTCTGAGGGAGTCCGACAGCAGGGACTGCGGGGAACTGCTGGTCGCCAGGCCGCCGAACCCCTGTGCGCTCTGCTGGAGATGCGGCGGTGGCGGCGGAGGAGGCGGTCCTCCTCCTGGCGGCCCCGGTGCCGCTGCGTGTTGGGTCCCTGAGACAAAATACCCGGCAGTCTGTCCGGAGAGCAGCCCGACTGGCGACGTGCTCATCCCGTAACTGTTCGTCAAACCCAGCGCCCCGGCGGCCGACCCGCCGAGGATGGAGCGCCCCAGGTCCCCGTTGCTCAGCTGCTCCACTGCGGGCAGCAGCGACCCGTAGCCGGCTGCCTGGTTCAAAAACCCGGGTGAGGATCCGTTGTAGTGCGGGTGATGGTGGTGGTGATGGTGCAGGGAGAGAAACGGAGAAATCTGCCAGTAGAGCGGGTTGTTCGTCCGCTCGTTAATCCCCAAGCCGAGAGGAGCGAAGCGCAGCCCGCGCTTCATCGCCAGCTTGCCCCGGGAGGTGGCGGAGCGCCTGCGGAGCTTCCCGGTAGTCCCTCCGATGAAAACATCATCGCTACTCGGGTCCAGCATCCAGTAGTTCCCCTTTCCCGGGTCGTCGTAGTGCCTGGGCACCTTAACGAAGCACTTATTGAGGCTCAGGTTGTGCCGGATAGAGTTCTGCCAGCCCTGCTTGTGCTCCCGGTAATATGGGAAGTTTTTCATGATGAACTCATAGATGCCGTTCAGCGTGAGCCGCTTCTCGGGGCTCTGCCGGATGGCCATCATGATCAGGGCGTTGTAGCTGAACGGAGGCTTGTCATATTTCCCGTTTTTCCCGCTGTTATTACCGTTAGTATTCTGCTCCGGCGTGGCCTTGGCGCCGTCCCCTCCTCCGCCTCCCCCTCCGCCCTCCTCCTCCTCTTCCCCCTGCTCCTCCTTGCCCGGCTTCTCCGGGTCCAAAGCCGCAGCCGTGGAGTCAACCTCCGGTGTGTCCAGCGACTTCTCAGAGTCGGAGCCCGGGGAAGGAGAGAAGGTCCCGGGGATGCCGACGACTGCGGCGGCGGCAGCAGCAGCCGCACCAGAGTCTGGTCTGTCGCACTTGGAGGGCAGCAGGAGGCTCTTGATACTGAAGGAGGAGGACCGGTGGACGGTCGGCGGGTCTTTTACATCCTCCATGCCCGGTGGCGGGTCTCCCAAAAACGAGGAATAAATAATAAGAAAAAAAATAATAACAACTCCAAGCTCGTCCACCTCCGTTATCCGGGCTGGAAACGAAAGAGAGACAGAGAGGAGAGAGAAAGGAGGGTCAGGATGAGAGATGCATGGATGGAGGAGTGGAGAGAGAGAATAGAAACAGACCGAGAGAGGGAGGGAGGAGAGAGAGAGAGCGTGGCTTGGATGTAGAGAAATTAGTAATTAAGGAGGTTCCGACTCGCGGCTACATCACGGAGAGGAGGAGCTTCTCCAACTTGGTGATTTTGTCAACAAATCCTCTTTTCTGCTTCTTCTTCTCCGTCCGTCCGTCTCCAAGCCGCGACTCTGACGACCTTTAATGTCTCCAACAACACAAACCTGTCATTTTTATCTGCTCTCTTTAATCTCCCTCTTTCGGTATTTACGCGCGTGCACCTCTCCCCCCAAATTCGTTCGTGTAATTGCGCCGTGCGTCATGCACCCTCCTCTCGGTGCATGTGTGCGCAAAATCCCATTCTGAGCCTGTGCGTAAAAACGCACGTCTGTCTGGGTGTGTGCGCGCCTGTGCATGTGCGTAAAAGCGCACAGGCAGTGAGGGCAGTCAGCCTCCTCGGCTTTGTTTTCTCAACGACAGTAATAGTTTGAATTCATGTCGGCAAACACAGCGTGTGCACGGTTGATGTGCGTTCATGTGTGTGTTTTTTGGGGGGGAGAGGAGGAGGAGGAGGCGGAGGCGGGGTGAAGCACTGAGCGCGCCGCTATTGTCTACTAATAAAAATCATTGTGGAAACACACACACACACACACACACATACACACACACACACACACACACACAGCCTAGAGGCGGCAGATCTGACGCTGTAACCAGAGTGCCTCCTGTCGGTGGTAGTCAATACTGCAGCGCACATCATCCTGTTTATTTTCTTACTGGTCTAAGTTCTGCTGATAATAATAGATAAGTCTTCTAAATGTTCTATAAATGCAGATTTTAGAAGCTTTTAAGTGCATTAATTATCATCATGTATCATATTGTTCCAGCTCTTCGTTGAAGCTAAATGATGTTTACCCTGAGTCAAACCCCAAAAGTCTCCATGGTAATTTTTAGCTGCCACTGAGGATTTCCAAAGACATGTCCCTGATATTGTTTCTGGGGATTTTGTTATTGTAATGACCTCTGTCAGAGTTTATGTTTACAGTCACACACATCACACCAGTGAGTTTCTGTTTTTATGTAACACAATAAGTTAAATGAAGGTAAAATGAAGGGAAGCACTAATAGTGTGCCATAAATATTTTCCTGGCTGTGTGGGGAATTCACTGAAACAGATTTCAAGCTATCATGTAGGGAAATGTAATTAACACAGAGTGTAACTAAACATTTAAATGAAGAGAATGTGAAAAAAAGTCTTATTTTAGTGTCTACTCCAACATTTTTTAGACAGGTGAGGATGGAGGAATCTGGACACTTCAGCATTTTGAACACCCCCAAATATCCCTATATCTGACCAGATATTTGCAATGTGTCTTGTGCATAATTTCAGACACATCTCCCAGAAATCTTCCTCTGTGGAAAACTGACACTGCAGAACTGAACATATTGACTTTGGTGTTATTTTCAACCTAAATATTTTTCTCTCATTTTATGTCGCTTGTTTTTTTTTTAATATACAGTGTGTGTGTGTGTGTGTGTGTGTGTGTGTATTAATCTGTTAGTGTCAGTGAGTATACTGCAAGAATCGCACAGAAGAGATGGAGGATTGAAGAGAAGTTATTTATTTATTTACTTGTTTATTTGACAAAGACACATGCATCAGACATTGCTTCATATGTAAAATACAAAGTAGATGCATACAGGTTTCTAACCATGGCTAATTTGCATCTAAATCTGTCTCTGGTTAGGCTTTTAGGATTAAAACAGTAAGTGTAAGATCACTGAGCGTGGAATCAGACACCTCTCCTGTGGAATCATCTTCCTGTTACGGTCCGGGAGGCAGACACCGTCTCCACATTTAAGACTAGACTTAAGACTTTCCTCTTTGATAAAGCTTATAGTTAGGGCTGGCTCAGGCTTGCCCTGTACCAGCCCTTAGTTAGGCTGACTTAGGCCTAGTCTGCCGGAGGACCCCCTATAATACACCGGGCACCTTCTCTCCTTCTCTCTCTCTCTCTCTCTCTCTCTCTCTCTCTCTCTCGTATTCTATTACTGCATCTTGCTAACTCGGCCATTCTGGATGTCACTAACTCGGCTTCTTCTCCGGAGCCTTTGTGCTCCACTGTCTCTCAGATTAACTCATATCGCAGCGGTGCCTGGACAGCGTGACGTGTGTGGTTGTGCTGCTGCCGTGGTCCTGCCAGATGCCTCCTGCTGCTGCTGCCATCATTAGTCATTAGTCATACTTCTACTGTTATTATACACATATGACTATTGTCACACATGTATACTGCCAGATATTAATACATACTTTCAACATATTGTACCACAGTAGCCAGAACTATAACTATAATATTATTACTTTCAATAATGTTGTTGTAAGCTACTGTCATTACCTGCATCTCTCTCTCTCTCTCTCTCTCTCTCTCTCTCTCTCTGTCTGTCTCTCTTTCTGTCTCATTGTGTCATGTGGATTACTGTTAATTTATTATGCTGATCTGTTCTGTACGACATCTATTGCAAATCTGTCCGTCCTGGAAGAGGGATCCCTCCTCAGTTGCTCTTCTTGAGGTTTCTACTGTTTTTTTCCCCGTTAAAGGGTTTTTTTGGGGGGAGTTTTTCCTTATCAGCTGTGAGGGTCATAAGGACAGAGGGATGTCGTATGCTGTAAAGCCCTGTGAGGCAAATTGTGATTTGTGATATTGGGCTTTATAAATAAAATTGATTGATTGATTGATTGATTGATTGAATAATTCAATACAATAATACAACACAACATGTACAGGAAAATACAGGTAAAGGATGAGTCAAAGAGAAGACCACAATAAAAAAAACATTTAACAATGACTGTTATTTAAGTATGAGGTCTGTGTGTGTTTTTGTGTATGTGCATGTCCACAATTGTATGCATTGTGCATGCATTTATATGTGTGATCAAAGATTGTAGCCTGCACAATCAGTGTTCACAGGCTTGCTTCAGTTTCATTAAACGGAGATTTCATATTTTAAATCAGTCTGTAGGCCTGCTGATTTTTCAAAACAGGATTTAGCAACTTTCTGTAATTTTATTTTGACATATAAAAAACCAGATCAGGCTCGGAGTGCTGTCAGCAGGAAGCACAGAGGTATAGTTTTAAACTTGAAACCCTTAAATAAAAAGCCACAGCAGACAGAGGCCACGGGGCCTCATCAACCGTTTTTCCCAACTAATTTTTTTCCCTGTCACAATACACAGTATATTCATTATTATAGGCTATTTCACCTCGGCACCGCCCAGTGACCACCGTGGAGCGCGCGGGCAGCAGGTGAACGCAGGTGTTTGGAGAGGAGGGCGCGTGACGGTGAAGAAGTCTTTACAGTGGAGTAAAAGTCTGGATTCGTGTTTGGGAGAGAGGAAGAGGAGCAGCAAACTGCCTGTGTCGTGACATCACTTTCAGCGCGCGCTGTGTGTGTGTCGGCTGCACGTGGTGTTGTGAGGCCTAATTTGCGGCGTGCATGATTTCATGGCGCTGGTTGTCATATGTTATTTTATAGGCTAACAAACAAGGGTCCATTTATCAACATGTGAATGAAAACGATCTGCTGGGCCTCTTTCATCACACTTTGCACTGTTGTGGCTCCAGGTTTGCTGTGTGTCTTGCAGTTGAAGATAAATGTAGGAATATGCAACATAAAAGCACAAAACTGAACTGAGACTGAATTAAAAACTGAAATAACACTTTATGTGACCCAGCCCTCCAGCAGGGGTTTTGAAGGTAAATCTGCCCAGGAGATATTTTTAGAAACTTCAAAGCTGAACAGACCATTTCAGAACATTTTGAAGCAAAAACAACATGCCTTTTTAAATTACTTTGAACTTTTTTGGCTTTTTATTACATTCACTGTGACTTTTTATGACCTTTTATGACTAACACTTGACAAAAACACCAGTATAACAGCTGACAGTGATACAGCCCATGTCAAACTCATATTACATTCTAGTTTTTCACTTTATAATACATATTAAAGTTATGCAGTAGAGACAGTGCAGCGTTTGACACTGATTGTACCCACAGCACCACTTATACAAACCACACATAGAGCTGCAGTACAGGGTAATATTAGAAGCAGCAGTAATAATGGTAGTTTAAATTAATTTATGATTACGTTTGTAAGGATTATTTTAGAAAGGTGGTGCATGGTTTCCTGTCGTGGTATTGTAATTTTGTTGTCTTTGAATTTGTCATCAACATATAAAGTGCTGCAGGGATGACTTTTTTTTTGTAGGCTGATGTGGAAGTTAACATCTCCCTGGTTCCTTTCCTTTTGGATTTTTGCCAAACAAAAGTTCATGATACTTACACGTTTTGATCAGCAAAATACGCTTCCCAGATGAGCACCACTTTAATGATCTTTGAGGCATAAATGCAATCACCAGAAGTAAAAAAAAAAAAAACCCAACTTGTAGAAACGACTCCCTCAGCTTTCTAGCTTGCAAAAATAATGACTTTAATGCTGCAGCGTTTCAGTGACTAGACCTTCATCAGGCAAACAAAATGTTGCAAGTTAGACAGTGTGCGGGAGTCTTTTCTACAAGTTTTATTCTCCTCGTCCCTCTTCTACGCACCTGTTTGGAAATAGATGTGCGAAGTATTCCTTTGTTTTGAATCGCCAGAAGTAAAAAGCGAATGTTAGGCTTCAAACAAACTACACCAAAGTCACATGACTTCAGCGTTGCCACCACAGCAAAACTGTGTTCTGTAGTCTCATTTAGCCTCTTGTTAGCAACTGCCTTTTTTAACCCTTTGTGGTCAAGGGTACAATCAACCGTTTTTGACTACTTTTGATTGTGCCTTTAAATTTCAGCTTGAAAACTGTTTACCTTGCCTTGTTTGGTGTCTTATTTTTTCAGCACAATCTCACCTGTGTGACTTTGGGGTTATTTTTTCATTTTGACATACTGTATTAACACATTGGACCTAAAATCACACAAAAAGCACCATCAGTAGGAGGGGGTGTTTGCTTGCCAGCACTTTTGTTAGAATAGCCCATTTTTACCGTTACGCTCACCAAATGTGACGACAGTATTCAGGAAAAAGCATGGCGTAAATTATTGATCATAAGTCTGGTTTTACTGGGCCTATCAATACAATTTAATTTCGCACTTCCAACACAAGCTGAAATGGAGACTCAGTGAGGCTGCGTCTTGCTGCTACGTCATCTTAAATTAGTCATGTGATTTGGATGCACCGGCGTGTCCGTGGCATCCAGAGGGTTAAGACACATAGAGTTGAGTATTTACTGATGTGTTTTATGTTGTGTAACAAACATGAAAGTTTCTTAAGTTTTTGTTAACCACAGATTTTATTTCAGACATCGCACCAAAAAAACATTAAAAAAACCAAAACAAAACAAAAAACACTGACTTCAAGATGAGGGAACTGGGAAGTGCTAAAATGCTAACTCAGTTCTGGGTTTTAGAACTCATTCCTGCACCACTCAGTCAGGGGAGACACTTCAAGCAAATTTTTAATATATATTTTGT